ATTTCAGTCTTTTTTTCGAACTTTTGTGTTAGTGGTTCAAATGTCAAAAATCCCTTTATTAGGAAAATGGCAAATTTCTTTATTAATGCAAAGGTGACTTGGTTTATCGTTACTGTGACAAACGAAAACACTTTATTTGATGAATCCTTAAAGAAAATTTTAATTAATATCAATCAGGAGAAAAGTTATTGCAAAAATATATGTTGATCCCTAGACACTTTTGATGTGTGTATTTTAAAATTATAAATATAGTCCATTACTTATGGTTTTTACGTAATTTGTATCATTTGAAGATTATTCTTCTATAATCTTTATCATACAATATCAAATAAATAATCATAAGAAATGAACATATTCTACCAGTGTAAGATTGCCTGTCCACTGAAGGGGAGAAACGGAGAAATATTTACTAATAGGATTGCACGAAATCTTTAAATCGAAATCTAAAATTTTTCAAGCCATCACTTATGCTAGAATAAATAAAGCCTTTTAAGGATAACCATTAATTTGAATTTTTGTGGAAATGGTAGAGGTTTAATTTTTCGTACTTTCCAAAAGAATAGAGTGTCATCTTATTATTATCATAACTTGCTCAATTTTGATACTTTTAACTTTTTACAGTGCTCATTGGAAAGGTATTTCCAAGGACTTTAAAAAGTGTTCAGAAAGTATATGTCATAAATGCATCGGTTTCCCGTTATTAAGGTTTAAATACTTAGATTGAAGTACTCGCCAAAAAAAAATATACATACAATTTCCTATAGCTCACTTTGAATTAATATTAGAAGGTTTTTCAAAGTAGGGGTTTGTTTGTTTTATTATTAGCTTTAATTTATTAATAATAATATATTTTTTGTAAAAACTCATAGTTTTTGAGATTTTTATAAAAACCGCATTAAATCATAATGTATTTTTATCACGAAAAATCACAATATTTGGTCTTTAATAACTTAGAAAGTATTGATTTATTTCAAAATCTTTATATAACAAATTTTGCTTAGAATTTATTTTTCTATCGATTTCTTGAGTTATTTTATTAAAATAATTTTCACCCCCTAGGGAAGAGGTGGCATCTCATCCAGGGCAAAAAGCACAAGTTGGCACTATGTCACTTTTGTTTCTTAAGGTACCACCAATTTTCATGAAAATCGATGGAGGTTCAACGAAATCGGAGGTTGTAGCTGATTTTTGCCTTCATTGACCGGACTAAATAGTGTTTTTAGAGTAGAGGTAACGGACCTTTTCACCAAAAAATGTACCTAGCTATCTATATCCTAATCTATACTAATATTATAAGAAGGAAAGATTTTATTATTTGTTTGTATTAAATAGACTCCGAAGCTAATGGACCGATTAAAAAAAATCTTTGTTGAATTGTACTTAGGCTAGGTATATAGATTTTCAATAAAGTAAGGATTCCGTATGAAAACTTTGATAATGTAACGTGGAAAAAATGTATAGTAATTTTCGCAGAAGGTTTGTACGATGAAAATGAAAGTCAGTCTGTATTAAACAAACCTGAAAACAAAAAGTATAATCTACACTAGAGCTCTACACCGAAGCAAAGCGAGAGCGGGCCACTAGTCTATTAATAAAGGAAATGAGCAGGTAGTGATTTTTGAAGAGATTTTCACACAGCATTTATGGGGCCGATTTCAAGGGAAACGACGCTACTGGATTAGTATTTCTGTTGTGCGTGGACATTTTACTGGATTCGGAATACTGCCGTGTGACCACTTCATAGAACTACATACGCCATCAAATAACAGACCTGTAAATCGGAATCGCTGTGTACGCGCCCTAAGTCGTAATTCTCCATTATGTTACCATTCAACTTTTGTTTGTGCGATTTTAGTTTAATACAGTACCCTTAGCACGAACTTATATCGAACTCGAATAGTTGAATTCGATGCGATACGCGTCAAATGTCAAAAAGTATTGTGTGATGATTTAAACTTCGCCACAACGGACGTCACGAGTATTAAAAATCTTCCATACAAACTTCTTGACATTCAACGCGTATCGAGATTAAATTCAACTATTCGAATTCGATATTGGTTTGTGCAAAGGCTAACGGAATGCAAACGAAATGACACAAGCAAAATACAACAAATTAGGCCAACTTTCAGGGTTATGTTGAAATCAATAATTTTATCCAACAAATACATTATTTCGCGTTTGAAATTTATTATTATGTAGATATAGAATAAGAGAGGTACAGCATTTTAATATCTCCAATTAAAACTCCCAGATTTGTTAAGAATAGTTTAATGGAGACATTATTTAATACAAAATACATAATAATCACATTTTTCGCGCTAGCTCAAACTCGACTGCCATCGATCATTTTGACATAACGTGAAAATATCCAAAGATTAGCTTAACCTAGATCATTTATCAATAGTCTAAAAACATAACAAGCATAAGAAATTTTCCGCTCGAATTAGAGCGCTCGACTGGGGAAGTAACCTCCACCTTACAGTACCCTTAGCACGAACCAATATCGAATTCGAATAGTTTGCAAACCGAAATGTCAATGTCAAATTTTGTATGGAAACTTGAACAGCAGCGGCAGAAAGTACGTAACGAGAACTATAAATCAGTCCACATTTGACAATGACATTTCGGACTCGCAAACGATACGAATTCGATATTGGTTCGTGCTAGGGGTTCTGAAGACTACCAAACCAGTAAAATAGCACTGACTTTTGGTGGTGTTGTGTTTCTGTCGGTGAGTGAGGTTCCAGGCCTCCACGGGATAGGAAATTGGGTCAGAGCAGGCCAAGGCGCGAATAATATTTTTTGTATCGCAAGCGTCTATAGGCGTATAAAGTAGCCGCTTACCATCAGGCGGGCCATACGCTTGTTTGCTTTAAAAAAAATACTTTAAAATTATAAAAAAACATATACTAAAATAAGTTAAATCGGACAATTTTTTCTTCTGAGAATAACATCAAACACTGAAAACGTATAAACATACTGTAGTTAATAAGGTACAATCTCATTTGAATGTAAATATAGTGTTTACGCGAGGTTTAGATTGTAAAAATCTATTGTACACGGAGAGGATTCGCCAGTTGCCCTCAGGTAGAGAAACATACCAGTGGCGCCATCTTGTACTATACGACCAAACAATGATACGTATTTACAGTGTTTCAGCTTTTCTTCAGCGCCGTACAAAATAATAATCTAGTAAGGAGTTCGAGCAGTCCACAATTTTCACGCTAGGTGGCGGTAGTTTTAGTCACGTCACACACAACTTATTTATGGTCATCACAACCCCCAGAACAAGAACTAAAGCAAAGAAATAGTTTATTCAACTCATAAAGTCGACTCATATAGTTATCTAATTTTTACTTAAAGACCAAAAAAGGTTTATATAGACAGCAAATATATGTTGCTATGAACCATACTATGAACAACGTGCGTACCGCTGCCTTTACGACACCGAATCAAAGAGCGATCTAATGTCAAATGCAACCTGGGCAGGTGGGCACACGCCATTAATAGTTTTTGGAAAGGTAATACTTTGTTTGAAAATCTTTTTGTTTATCTCTTGCCAATGGGAGTCTACGCTTAAACATCATAGCGTTCCTTATATGCTGTAGTCCTACCTAGTACAGTTAATTTATTTAAACTTCATTGAGAAAAATATATAACAATGGTACAAAAGGCGAACTTAATGCTAAAAGCATGCTCTCCCAGTCAATCTTTGGGAAAAATGAAAAACACGAACCAGTTAATGAACGGTTTTCCCTAGTAATTCTACCAAACAGCACCAACTAGCACCAAAATTTGACTGTAGGTTCTACTTACCCTCTACTTCAAAGTTGTTAATGAACTGAGGGTTGCATTTACCCTGGGGGTGGACGCCACCCCTTCTCGGTAATGAAAAATATTTGATTGAAAATGAGAATGAGAATGGATGACCTGACTTAGTCTAAACAATTGTTGTTCTATAATGTTTTCCCCATCATCCCCGAGTAGGGGTGGAAGCGTCCACTTTCAGGGAAATAGCTTGGCAGAATTGCAAGGTTTTCTCGTTTTTCCGTGCATTGAACTACTTTTACTATTTTCAGGTCCGTGGGACTATTTAGGTTTTTTTTCTGAGTCACAATCACAGATCAAATAGGCGGTTCCAGCGAAGAATTTACAACAAAGATATTAATCTTTGTCTATTTTTTTAAATATAAATCTTATCTAAACTAATATTATAAAGAGATCATATTTGTTTTTTGTGTTTTTGTAGTGAGGGATAAGCTCTGAAACTACTAGAGCGATTTGAGCGATACCATTGTCACTAAAATAGTAATGGATAATAATTACTAAACGTCGGCGCCCGTTAAAACTAGGCCACATTAATCAGATGTTAATCATTATCCAAATAAGTGTAAGCAATAAATAAAAGACTTATATTACCTGTAAATTTGTTTTTTGAATAGACCATTCCCAAGTTTCATACCATTCAGGGAAGGGACGGAGACAGTGGGAATACAAGCCTGATAACGAAAACCTATAGTCTACAGCTCTACACCACAAAACATAAACTTTCTGTGTTCTGTGCTCTACACCGAAACGAAGCGCAGGCGGTTACTACTACCGTTTATTAAATTAACTAGTTAAAAAAATGTATGAAAATGAACAATCAATCTATGAGCTTCGTAAGGGAGAGTGAGGTTGAAAGTGCCGAGAGTAAGTTCGTTAGTTAGTTAGTATGATATCTGTAATGGGTTATTTTTGAAGTCATCTTTTCGGACGGTAAATGGAAAAATCCTAAAGAAAATATCGTCACACGCTACAATATGGAGCAGCGCCTTATGCACAGCCTAATTTTAGGTTATTTAATAAAAGAAGTTCTACTTCAGATATGTGATCCGTGCATACTAATTTAGATTAATAATTTAAATAATTTATTAAATAACATTAAGTTAAAAATAATAATAGTAGATTTGCTAGAGGGAAGTGTTTCCAATACTGAGATAATATGAAACAGACAGAACAAAATTTATTTAATATAGAAATTTATGAATTCTTAAAATAGAACAACACCCATTGAATAGAATGTTTAATTCTTAAAAATTACAAACATGCCAAATAAATAACTTATTATAAAACGATGAAATTGTAAAAATTATAACTTGATGAGAGAGCTATCTAATTATATAATGTAGAATTTAGATTAGTATTTATTCTGAGTGACTACAACTAACACTGGGGTCAACTTGGGTTCCCAGCCATCGTTCGTAGACTGTGGCGTGAGGTCCCCTCCCTTGTGAACTTCTGAGATCTTAGCGACAACATCCCTGAACTTCTTTTCCACGCCCAAATCTGCAGCAGCTGTATCCACTTCCTCTATCGTAGTGCCTGATGGTAAGACGGTCTTGCCTGTCGTGAAAGGTGTCTCCTTTCCATAGTACAAATCCATGTGATCATTGAGTACACCTTCTAGAACCTTCTTTGGGACTGCGTTGATGGTAGGATCTTGAATCGCGTTGGACAGCTCATCGATTGTTACTGTCGGCACCGCCATCTTGGGTTACCTGCGAAAGAATTTCAAAAGTTACCAAGTGCTGTAGAAGCAGTTGACGTTAGATCTGGCATTTACACGTAAGTTAATTAACCAGGCATCATATCACTCCGATAGCCACATCTCACTGAAGGAAGATGTCACATTTGGTTTGAGTCATAAGTAGATATATATTATTCCCATTCATTTAATTTACTTTGAGTGCGGCTATTACTCTTTAGTTTTTCTTTGAACCTAATTTATTTATGTCGTTTTTTTTATCCCTAGGTTTGTGAGCCGTCAAATTAAATTACTGGACATAGAAAAAGCATTCTCTCTTTCTATCAACTGCAAATCTGCCATAAGAGTAAAAGAGGTATCCATATAATCTGTTACTTGGACCTCTGACGCTCAATCTATGAATATCATTAATCTGATCGTGTTGATAAGCCTCCCTCTTATCTATACGGCAAAGGCTGTTTAAAAGTTCTAAGCTGTCACATTCTATTATTTTTTCTTCTCCCAGTCCAGGATGAGATACTTAACCTTCGGAAGGTAACAGGGGTGACACGTCACCCCATCCAGCGATATAGTACCTAATATTTTCTTAACTATCTTTTTTCTCGCTCTCTCATTTCACGTATTCTTTTGTCACGACGCTTGCGCTCAGTTACCGCTGCGCATCGGCAGCGACGAGACGTGGATTCGATATTACAGGTATGTGCGGGGTGATGCGCCACCCCTGTTACTATTTACGTTTGTGTTTTTTTGGACGGATGAGATTTTGTTATTATGTTTTTTTTAGCACAAAATGGCTTTCCGATCAGAAGAAGAACTTGCAGAGTTTGTAAATAATGTGGCAAATAGTTTCTCTGATACGGACGACCCTTCAGAGCTTGAAGAGTCTTCAGAAAGTGAAGATAATTGCTCCGTGCAGTTAGAAGAGGATGATGTCATTTCTGGCGGTGATGAAGACGAAATTCCTTTGTCGCAGTTACGAGGTAACATCTTGCGGGGTAAAAACAAGCATCTATGGTCATCAGAGCCAACCTCATGCAGCAGGACACCTCTTCGTAATATTGTAAACATACCAACGAAGAACGTACAGTTTTTAATCAGAGAAAGAAGTATTCATGTCATTATTTTCGAAACCATTGGAAATAACGGTAGCCTATACAAACCAAAAAATTGAGAAACGAGCAAGTAAGTACAAAGATCAGCGTTTTGTACACAAAATAGACGCAATTGAAATGGAGGCTTTTATTGGTTTGTTATTATTTAGTGCCATAAACAAAGACAATAGAAAAAGTGTACCTGACATGTGGTCTCCCTTCAGCACACCACTTTTAAATCTATTATGTCTGACAGTCGTTTTCGATTTTTGCTATTATGCCTTAGATTTGATGACAAGGATAATCGTGACAAGGAAGACAAAATTGCTCCTATTTGCACGATTTGGAATATTTTCATTGACAAGTGCAGAACTTCATATGAACCTAACCTAACATTCATGCAACAATAGACAAACAACTCCTGAGTTTTCGCGGCAAATGCCCATTTAGAGTATACATTCAATCGAAACCTGACAAATATGGAATGAAAGTGGTTGCTATTTGTGACGCTAAAACTTATTATATGTTTGATGCCATCCCATATATTGACAAAGGTACCGAGGCAAAGACTGCAACAGATTACGTTCTAAAATTAGTTGAAAGTATCAAAGGATCTGGCCGAAACGTAACTTATGATAATTGGTTTTCGTCTGTGCCGCTTGCTCATACATTGGTAAAAGATTACAATTTGACATCTGGGTCAGGCCGCCATTTTTTGCTGATATGGCGCAGAAGTATTGTGTTGGTGGCGTAGAAACTTCTACGCGTCGGTGACGTTGAGTAGCGTATAATAGTGACGAATAAATGTTGAGGTTGGCATACACATGCCAAAATATTAAGATTAAATTATGTTGTATAACGTAATTGCACCAATTATGGACACTTTAAGGATGAAAAGGTGGGTTTTTGCAGGATTATTCCTAATATATCAGGATTTTGTTTAAACATCAATGTTGAGCTTAATGTCCGTCTTTTTTCCTTTATGCTTATGCCGAAAAAGTTAGAAATAACCGCATAAAAATGAGAGATATCATTAAAATATAAACGGTTTTTAAGCTAGTAATGGACAAGGAAAATCATTTAATGGACATCCAGTGATGAACATGCACCAAATATGGACATCTAATAATGAACACAATTTAATAATGGACCAGCTCGTTGAATTTAAAATAAGAAGTAGTTCCCTATATCTAAGTAAATAAAAACATCAACAATTTTATAATCAACTATATGCATTTATTTGCTAGATTTTAAATCTAAAGAAAATTTTTACTAAAAAAAATTCCACGCGTTCCAGGCAGCAGACGGGACTCGAAACTGCACTGACCATTATGTTACCGTGATCTATGCCTTGCAGCCTAAGAAATACAAGCTGAAATTACACGAATGCTTTTAGTTAGTATACATACATACACTCTCGAAAAACACTACCCTCCTTTCTTCGGCAGTCAGGTAAAAAATTAGTATAATAAAAACGAGTGGATACCTACCTTTATTTGGTGGCGTAGAGGAGGTGACGAATATCTACGCTACCGTTGGCGTTGAAGTACCAAAATGGTGGCGTATTTCTACTTCTACGCTATCGCCGCGTTGAGAAAACCACTTATATCTCTGTAAATAAAGTATGATTTGAGTTGCATTGTAACTCCAAACATGGCTTTCACTTCTACTAACATGATGCACTATTTGTTTTTCGTGTAACAATCAAACTTACTTTTTTATGCACAAAAATCTTACCTTGAAAAAATTGTGTACACAAACTAGAGTCCGCGCCACTACTCAAGTCCGACGGCGAAACGTCGAACTAAATGTGACAGCTGTGTGCAGCATGTGTGTGCGTTGCGAGTGTTGTTTGTAGATTTGAGTTGTTTTTTATTGGAAGGAGATTGATTATGGAGCGTAAAGTGATAAGAAGTGCAGCCAGAGAAGTAATTCTTAAGGTGAAACAGTTTTGTGAGCTGGAGAAGAAAAATAACAATGTTTTGATCCCTTTACAAAATGTTCAAATGCGAGTCGCTGCCATGACAGGTAAATTTTAGGGTTGTAAGGTCATTGATGTTTACCTCATTTTATGGAGTAACATTTTCTGTTAGGCTTGTGTCATGTTTAAATAATTTATACAAAAAAAATGTTTGTGTTGCATTTTATTGTAGTTTTATATTTATTAACTTCAATTTATAATTAAAGTAGTCAGTTTTCACCTTTTTTCGGTTGCGAGTACAATATATTGTTTAATGATGAATCAATTAATAATAGTTTAAACTGGTTTCTTTGTGATTTTAGGTGTGTCTGTTAAAACGGTGTCAAGAATCACTAAAGAAGGAAAAACTGCAATGGCAACATCAAATAAAATTGTTACTCCTGGAAAAAGTCGTCCACAAGCTAAGAAAATTGATTTGGATGACTTTGATTTGTGTTGCATACGCCAAAAAATTCATTTTTTCTATGTTGTGAAAAAAGAATTGCCTACTGTTAATAAACTGCGTTTGGAATTAAAAAGGGATATAAATTTTCAAGGGAGTAATACAACTTTACGAAGAATATTGAAACTGTTAGGTTTTCGATTCAAACGTTGTCAATCTAAACGCAAAGTGTTGATGGAGCGACATGATATTACTGCTTGGCGCGCCAGGTACATTGAAAGAATGAGGAAAAATAGGCTAGTTGACAAAAGGCCTGTGGTGTACTTAGATGAAACTTACATTCATCCGACATATCACGCTAAAAGCTGTTGGCAAAGCAAAGAAGAAGATGGATTATTGATATCAGAATCAGCTGGAAAACGTTTTATAATTGCACATGCGGGTACTAAGAGCGGATTTGTAAAAAATGCGTTATTAATGTTTAGGTCACAATCAAAATCTGCAGATTATCACGACGATATGAACGCCACAAACTTTTTGAAATGGATGACTGAAAAAGTGGTACCAAATCTGCCTGAAAAATCTCTTGTGGTAGTGGATAATGCTCCGTATCATTGCACTCAGATAAACAAAGCTCCTACGATGTCAAGCTCAAAATCATCAGGAGTGGTTACGACAAAAACAAATTTATTTTGAAGAGAGATGGACTAAACCAGTGTTATATGATATCATTAAAAGAAACAAAGAACCACCGCTCTTTGCAGTTGATGAACTACTGAAACAACACAATCACGAAGTGGTAAAATTACCTCCTTACCACTGTGACCTAAATCCTATCGAAAAAATTTGGAGTTTGGTAAAGAGACGCGTTGCTGATAAAAATGTTGCTCAAGATCCAAAAAGAATAATAGACTTGACAGAAGCTGCTTTTGCTAGTGTAACGCCAGAAGACTGGAGCGTTCAGTGTAACCACGTGGAACATCTTGAAGATGAGTACTTTAAAAATGACGGACTAGTTGATGTGGAAATGGAGAGATTCATAATATCAACAGAGAGTGATAGTGATACTAAATCTGATGATTCCACCGAGGAAGAATTGAGCAACAGTGATTGCGATATATCTGGCGTAAAAGAATTGTATCATGATGACCACAATTATTGCATTAAATTATATTAAACTTTATAATATTGTTTTATTGATAAATATTCTTTGTGTCATTATTTGAGTTACAAAAAATATTTAATTCCGATGAATAAAAATAATTTTTAAGTAATGAGATGTGGGAGAAAATTTCTTCCTACTGGCAACATTTTGTTACAAGACAGAGGCGCCGCGGCTATCGGACATGAGTCGTGGCGCGGACTCTACACCAGACGTTCACATGTCAACTGTCAAAAATATAGCCGCTCATCAAGCCGCTGTCCACAGATTACAGAAACTTAGTGTTGCCACTTCCCGATTTGAACTTCACCGATTCCTAAAGTTTAATAGAACATGGAGAATAGGTGGCGTTGACAAAAGTGGCGTTTAAATACAATTTTTGACGAAAACTTATTTG